CCATCAAGTCCTGTTTTTTCAGCAGACAGAAAGGTTGGGATTTCAACATGTCTGTGGGCACCCATGTTGGATGGGCTTTGCAGACTGCAACTCTCTTTCTGAAGCTCTGTAGCCTTTGGCTTCCAGCATTTTCAGCCTTAAATGATCAGGCCAACTCCAACCCAGCGAGTTGGAGACCAGGTCCAAAATCAACGTTTGCATTGAATTCTGCCATTGTCTGAAGAGCAGAGTGCACAGAATATTGCTTTAATTTTTAACAGAGTTGGAAAAGTCGTGAAGTAGCCAGGTTGGAGTTGGAGGAATTCCCTACCCAGAGCTGGCAGCTGGGTGTTAATGAGAGGTGTACATATCCATCCCACTGTGTCAAGCTCTCCATGGACTTCAGCTCTGAATGAATCAAAACTATGAGACCCTTTACAAAGAGAAAATAAAGAAGGCAAATGTGGTGGGGAAGAACTGAAACAACAACAAAGCCCAGAGCTCAGTTTCTCAAAGTACAGGATGTGCGAGTAGGCTTGAGAAATTTGGCTTTTTTTCTGCTTCTTGGGTTGCTAAGACTGCTGTCATCTGAGCTAGGGTTTTCAAGGGGGAAAGAAACATTGCCGTTTGATTTAACCTTTTGAATTAACTCTGTTTTTCCTTAAGAATGGAATGTAGTTGCTGCCCCCACAAACACGTACACTTTTTCTTGGATGACTGATGCTATGCCGTAAGTATTGATCTAATAAGATGCCTGCTTGTCAGCTGGCCTCCAGATCTCTGATACAGCAAACTTCAGGAGAGATATGCAGAAGTTTTAAGCTGTTATTTCTAATAGTACAACCAGCTTTTGCTTCCTAAAGCTCTTTCACTTCCAGTGTTCTGCAAATTGTAACCAAACACAGGCCTGTAATTAAATGACGGGGCAGGCTGTAGTGATAAAATCTCTTTCGCTGCAGGGGCCCAGGTGGGGGAAGTGTTTTCCATAGATTTGCATTGCTGCCTTTCGAGGTTTCAAGTGGTACCTGTCTGTTGGAGGGGCTCTGAGCATCACAGAGCTAAAGGAGCTCTGCAAGGACTGAGGCGATACCTCTGCCGCTTGCAAAAGGTGGCTGAAATCTTTGGCTAGCTGAAAGCGTAATTTTAGAATTCCTAAGAAGCCCAACAGGAATGCATCTTCCCCTCTTGATATATGAGTGTACAACCTGCCCTATGCACTTGGGCTTAATTTTGTGCACGTCGAAATCGAGGTTTTGCTTGATTCCTCAGGGCTCAGAGTTTCAGGCAAAGTAAAACAGAAGATAAGTGTATTTGTAACGGGTTGTGTGAGCAAGGAGGAGAGATTGAAGATTGTTTCTTTGACCCCATGAAGCACCCGTGGGGGGTCTCTGTCCGTACCATACGCCTCACTTGAAAAGGCAGCTGGGATCATCTTTCTTGAACACACATATTGCCAGTGTCAATGACAGCGGCAGTGGCTGAGCTGAGCGGGATGAATTGCTGTGTCTCACTTTGCAGGGGAAAACCATCACTGTTAGGGCACAACTCTTCTGCTCTGTTTAGACATTTCCATTCAAATGTGATGAATTACTGCCTGGATGAGATTGTCTCTTTCTGCTGAGTGTAAAGGGCATCTGGAAAAAACTCCGAGGGGGTACCTGCTCTGTAACCATCTAGCACATCTGACCACAATTCAGCAGGCACCACCATCCAGATCATTTCTGCAGTCTTTTCCTCTAGAGGTCTAACAGTGTAGACCCTCTTATACCTCTTTTCCCTCAGGGCAAGGCGGGGGCTTTGTGGAGATGCGAATTAACTGTCATCATCAGGTGGCAACGGCTGTCCCACCCTGCAGCCAAAGGCTGGTGTCGTGGGGTCACAGTGCCTGGGACGCAATGGTGGAAGGCTCCTTGACAGCCTCTCTAATTTTATAAGGCTGTTTCTGGAAGGCCAAGGACAACGCTTACTCCCTGAAAGTCACCTCCGTGCAGCCAGATTTCACGTCCCCTTGCCCTCCCTCGGATTTGTGCCTGTGCTAGGGAATCCTTTTACAGACGTTGTGAGGTGAGTTGAATCCATCCCAAGCCTTGGACAACCAGCCCTATCCCTGGGTACGTAGGCTAAAGATTATTTACCATTGCTGTAAATCTGTCTGCTTCATTCCAGCCTGAATTTATAACATCTCAGCTTCAATTTTCATCTTCTCTTTTTGAGACTGCAGAGCACTGTGCTCTCAACATCATCTTTGTGTGTCTCTTTTCTATGATCCCATCACATCCTCACAGTTTCTTGGACAAATGTAATTAAGTCCTGCTAGTCCCTTAATGTCAGGCAGGTTTTTCCAGACCTTGAGTCGTCCCCCTAGACTCTGAGCCCCTCCATTTAACAAAATGTTAACAGCCTGTTGTAAAAGCTGGCACCACACAGGGCGGTGGCATCCAGGAATGATCCTAATTAAGAGGTGACATCACCTACCTGCTTCTGCTCAGTGTTCCTCCCATACATCTTCAGGGCTGCACTAGCATTGCCAGCCACTGCATGGCACTGTGAGATTGCACTCAGACATTTCCTTCCTAACTCACATTTTTCTCAGTTTCACACTGGACAGGACACAGCTCAGCACCCCTCTCGGTAGCCCACACCCATTTCTTTACAGAAATTTCTGGCCCGTTTCTCAGATCTGTCACTGTGGCTCATATCCATCTTCACAGCCAGGTCTTCTGGCTCCCAGCACAAATTTCTTCCAGTCCCTCCCTTGCCCTCATGGGGTGGGCTC